CGGGCCCCACTCCGGGGCTGCGCCGGGGCGAGACCGTGGGCAGGTGGTGGTGGGGGGGGGTCCCCATCCTTTTTCAGCCCTGTTTTCTCTTTCCCCGTGCTTTTTCGGCATTCATTCACTGCAACCCGAGCGGAGTCTTCAGGCGTTTCCAGGCGTCTTGGCCTATGTGCCTGCCCCGTCGTCCCTCGGTGTTTCGGGGCAGCCCTCTCCCTGCAACCCCCAGTGCCGCCCAGCTCAGCCCTGGGTGACCCCAGCCTCCTCCAAACCAGGGCTAGTCTTCGCTATGCCCGGTGGTGCTGCTTTACCGTGCGTCTTGAGGCGCTCAGTGATGCGGTTGCCTGGCTTTATCCTTTATTGTTACCGATGGTGGTGATCAGGGGGCTGAGGGCATCTAGTGAGCGGGCAGGGAAGGGACAGCAGCAGAAAGCAGAAGCAAAAAACCAGGACTGAGCACGGCTCAGGCTGCATTTTGTGGAGGCCAAACCTTTTTACCGACCGGCAGTCACTTGACGTGCCACACATGAGGTCTCCAGAGCCCCGGTTCACCCCAGAAGTACCCGTGCCCATAACACAAAGGGAAAAAAATAAAAATAAAAATTCCCCCATGCCTGTGAGAGGCAGCGGTGGTAGTTTTTGAGCTGCAGTCCTGCGGGATTTCAGGGCAATCACGAATGTAGCACTGGGTCAGAGCGGAGTCCCTGGGAAATTTGGGGGCAAGTGAGAGCGGGGGGCTGGAGCGGGGCCCTGGGGGATTTCAGGTAGCTGAGAGCGCAGGGCTGCACGGGAGCGTCCCCCCCGGCGGCTGCGGCCGTTCGGTATGCAGTGCCCACTCAGATATCTACCGCTCCTCTGCACCCCGCTGCAAACGTGGTGTTTGAGAAGCATCTGGTAGAGAAAATAGTAACAGAAAAGGAAGTGGGAAAAGAAGCTGCTGGTGTCTCGGCACCGCCAGCAGTGCCTGCTGACCTTTTCTGCTTCTCTGCTTCGTTCTGTTTTATATAGAATGGCTCTGAATTTACTCAGGTTGGCGCAGTGCTTAAAAGCAAAGCGGGGTTTTTCTCTCCTAAGGTTTGGGCGTGCAAGAGGGAAAACCCCTCCCGCTTTTGGCTAGCTATCTGTGAGGAAGGGCTTCTGCTACAGTCCGAAGTGCAGAGGAGCGGAGAGGAAAGTTGCAGGGTTCCCCAAAGGGACAGGAAAATGGGAGAACGCCTCTGCATCAGCCCCAAATGCCTGCGGCACTGAGATCTTTGGATCTCATCATTGTTTCCTGGTTCCTGAGCCCTTTCAGCTTCCTAAAAACCAAGACATGCATTGGAGCTGAGTGACATCTGAGATGTGTCACGGAAAATCGTTGAGGGCTCCTCGCTGACAGATGGAGGAGGATGAGCCAGCAGCAGGAACCATCAGTAGGAGCCTGCAAACGTGGGGTGGGGAGGGCAGGGCAGCAGTTTTCAGGCTCGAATGCAGGCACTGATCCCAAAGGGAATCTCCTCGAGCGAGTCCCAGAGGATGCTCACGAGGTGGGCGAGGAGTGCGTGCTCCATCAGGGAGCACCGCCAGCTCTGAGATGGTGTAGGACAGCGTTGCCCTGACTCGCCCCAAGGCATGGAGAGGTGGGCACGGCTGCCACCACTTGGCAAAGATGGCCTTCTGGTGCTGAGCCATGCATAGAGTTAAAAGATTCACCATGTTGCACCTTTCTGGGGTTTTTCTTGGTTTTTTTCATATTTTTTTTTAATGAAAATTTAGGCTGTGGTGGACCAATGGCCAGGATATGCCTTCTGGAAAGTACCACCTTGGAGCAGCTTGCTGACATGCCCCTGCCATGTGTTGGACACTGTGGTTAGCACTCACTTAGGCTCAGAATTTTCCTTCATATTCATCTGGAAAAAAAGGGTAATTCTTTCTGACTAAAAAAAACCGTGCCTTTCCAGATGAGCCCAGGGTTGAGGTCTCCTATTCAGAGGGGCTGTGAAGGGTAGCATTGCAGCGCTGGAGCTACGTACTGGTTTAGACCCTGTGGGACACTTCCTCAGAACTACAGTGAGGCCTTCAGGCCAAGAGCTGCAGGAAGATGAGCATTAAAAATGCACGGTGCACCCTCTTAAACATGGCAGTGACCCTGCTCTAGATCCTACAGCTGTCCCCGAAACGGGACTGCAGGGGAACATCGTGAATTCTCATCTTTCACCCCTCCTATTCATCTGCTCTTTGTCCCCCAGGTTCAAGGGGTCTTTTGGGGCCCTCAAACATGTTCATTTTGGACCAATGCCAACCCCTTAACAGTCTCTCATTCTTTTAATAGTGCTTTTTTTCTCTGTAATGACAGGCATTTTTTTGAGTGGGGAATATTTCTGGGCTTACCCTAATTCTCAGTCCCCAGGTGCACGTCTGTCTTTGTCACTGGCCAGTAAATAATAATACGCTATAACAGGGGCATTCAAAACAGGGGCAGCAAATGCCACGTGAGGTCTGCTCGGGACCTGGCTGGCTCGCTGCGGGGAGCCTGGGCTGCGATCGCTGGTGAGGCAGCGGTGCATGACCCCACACGCACGTGCGAGGGAAATGCTCGCTGCCGCAGGATGCTGGGGGCTGCTGCGCTCGCTCTGGCTGGATGTTTGCAGCAAGGGAATGAGCACCCAGCGGCAGCGGGTGCTTCTGGCTCTGCGCTTCCTTCGACCCTAGGCATGGCAGGGTGCTTTCTGCCTCGGGTTCTCCAGCTAACCCTAGTGGGGTGGTGACCTTCACTTGTTGCGTGACTTCCCATGGTAACGAGAGAGAGGCACTGCAATGCTGACTTGGGACAGCCAGCAAGGTCAGTGACACAGGGAACATCTGGGTGAGCTGAGAGCTCTGATCACCTCTCCCACATCCACATCTAGCAAAAGGAACTGCAAACTCATCTTTACTGCCCCTCCATTAGGTTAATAGTTGGCTTGTTGATAAATGGGAGTGTGTAAGGACAGGGACTTCCCCAGCAGTCTTCAAGTCCTGCTTTTGAGGCTGGGGACATCAGTGGAGCAATCCTGGCTGGCTTCTATGGACCTGGGATTTGGCTCGAGTGGTGGATCTGAGGTGGCAGGGCTGGCCAGCAGGTTGGTCCTTGATATAAACCAAGTGACATTTTCATTTTCGATTGTGTGCCAGTTGGCACTGTGATCCCCACCTGCAGGGTGAAGGCGTCTGCAGGCTTGTGTTGCTGTCCCTTCTGCCGCTTTCTTTCCATGAGCTGCTGGCAGTTTTGCCCATGTACTTCCTGCGTCTATCGGGGGAGCCCGGGGGAGCCCATCAGAGGGGTGTCGTGCCTGTGAGCAAAGGGGCCCGTCAAGCCCGCCTTACAGCTGCTCTCAACTCACCTTACAGCCACTGGCAGGCTAAATTTGGAGGTTCTTGGCACTTGCCACTGAAGACAAGCCCTAGTAGGCTGTGGTGGATTAAACGTGGCCAGCCGTTTGGCGATGGGAGGGGAGAAGGTTTCATCATGCTGTAGGTTTTGAAATGCGATGCTTTTCCTGCCTTGCGTAAGCGGCAATGTTTAAAGTGTTAAATGTGCTTTCCGCTTTGGGAGCAGGTTTCTCCTTTCTGTGTGAAAAGATACAGTCTGGGGAACATAATTGCAGGCCATGCTGCAGGAAAGATGTCTCAGGTGGGAGGAATATGAAGAACAGCCACAGGAGAGGGAGTTCAGCCTTCTGGGACAGAGCACACCCGGCGCCTCGCAATCCCCATGGTAGCCCTACTGAGGCTCTTGGTGTTGCAACAGCAGCAGATGTGGCCAAGCACGCGTGTTTCACACAGGCAACGTCTGCTTCCATGCTACAGCGGAGGCAAATTAACTGCTGGGCCCCTCCAAAAACTACTGCTCCT